GATTACATATGTAAATTATGTAAATAGTCCTGAAACATTGCCCTCAATCTAAAGTTGCCATGTTTGCCATCAGCTATGATTGGATATATAGTTCTGTAATATCACTATGCTCATGGTGGAATAATTGCCCAAATAAGGTTTAATTAAGAAAAAAATACCCTGAGGAAGTGGCATATTGAGGGACATAGTAATGAACACACATGAAAAGAAATGGATATTCTCAGGAACAGAGGTGGGAGTAAGAAATATTTCAGATTTCCCCCAAACAGTAATTTTACCTGAAAGGTGAATGGGCACTCATTTGATACAGCCCTAACTACAATGCACCAAGTGATTTCCAGTTGAATCCTAAGCAGAGTTACCTCCTTCTAACTTTACTGAAGTCAGCTGAAATCAATGGACTTAGAAGGGTGTAACTCTGCTTAGTAAGGTAGTGTTACAGATGGCATTCAGTAATATCCCTCATAACTTTACACCATCACATACAGTCCTTCTGGTCATAATTCCATTCTAATATTTATGATGTGCACTTAAGTCTTTTCTATTGTATTTTATTATCTGGCTTGAAAAAGACCCAATATCACATGCTCAAAGCATCTCTCCCCTAATTTAGAATTATTTTGACCACATATTCTATGCTGTAGGTATATCAGATACCAGTCATGAACAACAAAAGAGTAAAGGGCTGCAGTTCATACTACAGAGCAAGATGTATTGTGAGCATGCTCTGTAGTGCTTAGAGACAAAATGTGATAAGAAGGTTTTCCTGTTCACTGTCCTACAAAGAACCAGTAAGGTATCTGTGAATTATAGCTTGTCAACCAGTGCAAAGTAGGGCTTTCACTTCAAAGGAAACACTCTCACACACTTTGAAAAGCCCATGCAGTATAGTCACATACATATGTATTAGCAAAAATCTGTTCCAATGTGTTCCATAGATATATCCAAAACCTAACTGAAATTGCTCTGGGATAAATTATACCTTCCAGTTTTCAGCCCTAGAGCGCACCACAAAGTATTAAAAATATACTTTAAAACTATTTGGCTGCCAATATATGACAATAAAAGCCATACCCAGAGGTGTGGTTTCATATGATAATTGCAAATCCTTGCTGGGCTAAGAGGTACAGAAGAGTGCCTCTGGTGATTATCTCACAGAGGTACCTTATTGTCATTATGATTAGCTTTCAGCTTTATGTATTCGTAATTTATTTTAGTCAATTGCACTGATCACTGGATGGAAACTTTCAGCTAGTGTTGGAACCATCCAACTGTGAAGACCACAGAGGTTAACTTTTTCCCTTCAAATGCCCAATTGCCAATCAGAAGACTCTTTCTGCTTAAGCAGCTTGATAATTTCCTTACATGTAAAACTACTGCCACCAAACATAATAGAAGTGAATTCAAAGCTTTAATAGACAGCATCAGAACCATTTTTCTGATTAACAATGAAGGATCATTTTAAAGTCCCACTGAGCCAGAAACTGTCCTGTTAGAAAAACACCCCAAATGGCTTTATATATTTTTTTAAAAAATGATTTTCTCCTTTCCCCCTTTTCTGTTCTTGTTCTATCTCAGTAAAATACTCCCCTAATTAAGCATGGAGGGGGGAAAACACAATAAAAACAAATTTCTCTGTATCAAAATGCAACTAACTCTTGGGAATGTACACTTTGATATAGCCTAGAGATACATCTACATATTTTTATAAAAAGAAATAAAGGGACTTGTGTTTGTGATTTAATTATTTTAAAATATTTGTTTTGAATGGATATGACTAATTTTTTTTTCACATGATAAGTGATTATTAAAAAAACCATGAAGAAACAACACAGAGGGGGGACTATTATTTCTCTTTCAAGGCTGCAGGATAGCTGAAGACCACCTTCACCATCTAATTTCATATTAAAATGTCATAAAAGAACTGTTAGGGTCTATAACGAAGACAGTATCTATCTGGTTTAATAAGTAGAAAACTGAGAGCAATAACATATCCAAATATTTGAAATTAAAATGGTGGCATTATGTGGAATGGTTGCAACTAAGCTTTTAAAAAGTTGAAAACAATAGTTCAGAATTTTTTAAAATGGGAAATTCTATTTCTGCTAATATGAAAGACAGTAATTATGAAACAATGCATTTGACTCCAATTTAAAAAGATGTACAGTATCTCTGATAATTACAGGAAGTGTGGGCAGCTAGAAACATATTTGAACACTGCCAGTAGGACTAAGGATATTTCTACGCATATTTCTTAAGGCAAATAACTGAGATAATTGAAAGAATTTTTGGAAATCCATTCCCAGTGGACTCATTAGTGATACCTTTTTATTATATGGAAAAATCTGTCAGGAAAATAGATGAGGAAATGGTTGCTAATTTAATTATAGTAGTAAAACTTCCCCCCATTTAAATCTTTAAAAGTGCCATCAGTAGAAGACTGGTAGTATAGCTGGGAAATGATTAAAAATTACAATGATAGTAAGTCACAGAGACGGGGGACAAATTACTCTTTCCATCACAGATTAC